GGGGGGGGGGGGTGTTTGAGGCGCCGCCAGGGATGACGAATTCCTCATTGCAGCTTCATTTCGCCCCTAGTCGCGGGCAGCTTAGCAATGGGCCTGAGTCCATCGGCCAGGACGGCTACAGATTGAGCAACTTGTGTCCCCGGCCGGCCACGCCACATGTCAACGTCGCCGGTCGCGACAGCAGTGCAGCAAGAGCAGCAGCAGTGCCACGCCGGACCCCTCGCTGCTTGCCCAGCCGCATGCTGCAAACCTCATGTGTCTTCTCTAGTACAAGCTGCGAAAGCTCATTGATGAGTTTTGCGGGCAAGTTGATCCTCCTTGGCTTGTTCCGCTCCGCGGCATGCTGATGGCCCATCCTGTTACGACTGATTTTATGCAAAAGTAGCCTCGAATGGCCATATAAGTTGAGAGAGAGGGTTGGCAGGGCTTGCAGGCAACATGAAATCAACAGTCTGATGAAGTCAGCGAAAGAGCAGCCAGCAGACCCGTGTCGCCACCCTGGCGGACACGTCGGCCCAATGCCCCGCTCCTCCATTGCGGCCAAACTGCAACCTTAAGAAGAGCGTCTCCGTACATTCAGTCGCAACATGCGTTCAGAAGCCCAAGGTAGCCACATCCGAGTCAACTTGGTCAAATTACACATGCGTGCAGGCTCTCGCAGTCAACAGTGTGCCAAGGCACCAGCACGCAGCGCCGCCCGCCGCTCGGCCACAATTCTCCATCCGCACCTGTATCGGCCCCCCCATGCTCATCCCTGTGGCGGCAGACAGCAAAATTCATCACCTGTAAAGGCACAACCACGTGAAAGCGATGGCTCGTCCACAAAGACCATGCGCCCCAGGCAAGCACGCACCGCGAAGCAGGGCTTTCGGGACAACCAACTGCCGGCCGCAGCCTGACGCACACCATCAGTGGTCGACTGCCAACGCGGCCACCAAAAAATCAAGGTGACAAGACAAGAGTTCAGGAGATCACGAAGGCAAACAGGGTTGTCAAGCGGCAAAGGGAGTGCTGAGTTGCAGCTGTGTGTCCATTCATGTTAGGACGCAGGGAGTTAGGCGATTGCACACACTGCGAGTTGAGCACGAGCAAAAGTTGGCTGCAGGCTGATGGTTGCAGGTCCAGGTGAGAAGCGTTATATACCTGAACGCAAGGGGTGCTCGATTCCTGTCCGCTCAAAGTATCACATCAAACAGCGTACAGCACGAGTGCGCGCCGCGATGCGTCGCTGCTTGCGATGCGCGACGAGGGCGCTGTCTAGGTATTGGGTCACCAGCCGCCATAGCCAGACAAAGCGAATGGGATGTCGCTCGCGCCAAGACGCACCCCTACGGCCGACCAGGGCCCTGCAGCACATCCCTGTGTTGCTCGCAGCCGTGGGTCTTGCCGCCACTGCTGCCGGGGCCCCGGCCACTGCCGCCGGCTCCACCAGAGCCCTGCTCTCGCGCGCCACCTGAAGCACCTGCGCATCCATTCTGTCCATGGCACTCCTCAGATAGCGCCTGAAGAGCCTGCGCGAGCAAGGCGAGCGCCAGACGTTGCGCATGGGCCTCGCCTCGGGTGGCCTGGCGCGGGGTAATGCGGCGAAGCACGCAGCGCGGGCTGCCTGAGCACGGTGGACCCACAATTGCATGCCCACCTGCTTCACGGCGGCAAGCGTCGGCACGCGGGGCCAGCAGAGGACGCTGAACTCGGCTGCAACAGGGCGGCGGGCGGGGGCGGGCCATCAAAACATCGACAGGCGGCCAGCAAAACTGTTCGACTGCTTGCATGGGGTCCCTGGCTGCGGCCCCTAGGAAGCCGCGCGCAGCGCAGATAACAGCACGTCCCCCTACCCCTGTATCCACTCACCAAACTGCTCGGCCGTCATGACGCTGTCATAAATGGCCAGGGAGTGCGCTGCAAAGGGACAGGAGGAGTGGTGGATTGGGCACATAAATACTGTGCATACCCCAGGGCAGGTCGAGTCGCGATAGCACACGTGGCTCGAGTGTGCGCGTGGCAGCAAACACCCGCGCCGGCCCGGCGCGCGCGCCACGCACCCGCCATGCCGCATATGTCAGCCGCCTGAATGGCCGTGAGCTCTTCCAGCACCCTGTGGTCCTCCAGCGCCGCCGCGTTCTCCTCCGCCAGGTTGTGCACGCCCGGCGCCGCCGCCGCTGCTTCCCGCTTCGACGCCGCCTCGGCGAGCCGCGCGCAGGCGGCGTCGCGGCGCTCGGCGATGCGCGCGTGGCGCGCGTCGTACGCGTCGACAATTATCAGCGCCAGCTGGACCTGCGGGCGCAGCGCGGGGGAACAAGTGGCCTCCGTCAAGGAGCAAGATGGGGCGCCACAGCACCTTCAGCTCCCCGCCTTGGGCACAGGCAGGCTGGGCCGGGCTCGGCTGGGGGCTCGGTGGCTGTCCTGGGGAACGAGGCGCAACCGAGACGGTCAGCCCGCACCTGCTCTGGCGTCAGCCCCGTGTGTCTCGCAGCATGAACGTAGTGCTCCAGGGGCGGATCCCTGCCGTCCCCCATCGGCCCCTCGGCGTCGATGGGGGAGAGCAGCAGGCCGCCGATCAGCTCCGGCGCCACCAGCGTCAGCACTGAGCAGAACGCGAGCAGGCCGCCGCGCACCTGCCCCAGGCGCTGCAGCGCCGAGGCCGCGTCGGGGGCGCCGGTGCGGACGCGGCTGCGAGGTGGGGCGGGCGGGGGAGGGGGGGCCAGGGCGTGCAGCGTCCATGGGTTGGGATGGAAACTCCTATCCGAACGGCAGCGTGTGTACCGCACGGGCTGTGCCCATGTCGAGCGAGAGTTCACAGTGCATGTGGTTTGGAAATAGCTGCAACACGCAGACCAGCAGGCACCTGTCAACCTGCAACGGCGGCCGCCAGCGCCGGCTGGACCCCTAAGCGTTGCAACAAAGCGCCGCCGCGCCCGGCAGCGCTGCGGCAGCGGCCTCCGGCCACCAAGCGGTGGCAGGCCGCACGCCTGTGCTTACGGCGTGAGGAGGCCGAACAGCCGCAGGTGCTCCTGAAGGGCCCGCTTGGCGCGCTCTGCTGTCCAGCTGTGGGCCGCGGCCAGCGCTTCTGCGCCTGCTGGCCACCAGCTGACGCTCAGCGCGGGCTCTGCCGGCGCGCCGGAGCGGCCCGCGGCGGCGGCGGCGGCGGCAGAGGCGGCGCTGCACGACTGGGAAGGCGAGTGCGGGCCGGCCTGCAGCTCTGCCTTGATACGGGCTAGCTCCGACCCCCACTCAGACAGCGGCCCTGCCGCTGCGCCGCCTCGGGGTACCGCAGGTCCAGGCGACCACGATAAGTGTGGCGCCTGTCCAGCTGCAGGTGCAGCCCCACCGCTGCTGCAGCTGGCGTTGCTGCCCTGGAGGTCTACAAGCTGCTGCTGCTGCTGCTGCTGCTGCTGCTGCTGCTGCTGCTGCTGCTGCTGCTGCTGCGGCGGCGGCGGCTGCGGCAGCGGCAGCAACGGCACCTGCTGCTGCTGCTGCAGCTCCGTGGCCAGCTCGATCAGCGCTTCGATTTGCTGCACAACACACTGGACGGCGACGGCGCGCAAGCGCAGGTGGCGGTGCTCCTCGTCAAGTCCCGCCACCTCATGCTGCTTATCCACAACGAGCCTACTGAGCTCCTTTATAAGCTTAGACTCCTTATTGATTCTAGGCTTTGGTGGCATGATGACGTCCACGCCCGACACAGCTAGCGATGTACTGTGCGATTTTTTATATTTATATCGTGACCTGTTCGGTGCTCAAAGTAAGGTTTGGCAGCCTTCTTCCATCGGGGTGGGATTTCGTAAACATTCGGCAGCAGTGACTGCGGGTGTGACACGTAAGCCGACATACAACAGCGCTCGCAGCAATGACATCAATCACGACGATTGATTGTTTTGCTGCGTGATACTTTCCGTTGCAATTGGTAGCCCTTGTGCGAGATCAGAGTGTCGACCCTCGGCCGTTTCACATTGAATAGAACTTTTGGTATCACATAACCCAAGATAGCACCTGTTGTGGGCTCCTCCTCATCCGCCGTATGCGTACATATCGCGTCAGCAGCAGCACTGATACCCCACCGGCACTGACGCCTGGGTCAAGATGTCCATGTGAGAGACCTCACTGCTCTGCCCATGTGCTGAGGTTGGTCGCCTTGATGAATCACATGGCAGACTAGATGCGCAGGGTGCAGAGCAGGACGCAGGAGCACGCCACGCGCACTTGAGAAGCACCAATACCGTTGCAATGCAAGAACAGCCTCGCGACTGGTGCCACCTGCTGCCAATCGTCGGACGGGGAGCTCCGCTCGGCGGCATTGTTGCGTGAGGCTGCGCTCCGGCAGCTACTGGGCTGTACGCGCACGAGCGACCCAGGCGCCATCCAAGTGGTACTGCAGGCGGCGCGATAGCTGACGTTCGGTGAGCCCTGGATGCGCCTGTATGTCACGGGTACGTGGCGCATCTGATCCTCCGGCAGCCCCGAGCCTTTGGCCTGTACGTTGCACAATCAAAAAAACGTGGGCTTTTCGAAAGCCGCTCTAAAAATTGAGATTGCCATTTGGTCGTGCGTCAGGAGCCGCTCCACGCGGCTGACCCACACCCCCGCCCGGTGCTCGGCGCCTTCTGGGCGGCTTCCCAAACATCAGGCTGCTGCAGCTGGTGACCACGCCGTGCACCCTTGCAAAGTTTGCCGACTGCCTCGGCAGCACCAATTTCTTGGCTGGCTGCCCGCAGCGCAGCCTGCATGCTTGACGCCCTCGGCCGTTCTGCGAGCGTGGTGCCAAATGGGATCCCCGAGGCCTGCGCTGCACTGACAGCATGAGCCAGGGGTGCAACGAGGGTCGCATGTGATCTGAGTGCGACAGGTGGGCCGTGCGCGACGTTCACCCAAGGAGGGACACGAAGTAGCTGCCACCCGCGCCCGCCGGCACTGTGCCAGCAGGCGGGTAGCAACGTGCGCATGACATGTGCGACGCGCTGGATACGGACGTGGCGCCGGCGCTGGAACGACCGCGGCGGTGCTGGCTGAACGCTCGTCGGGGCCCAGCGTTCGGCGTGCTGTTGCAGTCGGGGGTGTTGGCAGGGCCCCAGCTGCGCGAGGCCGTCCTGCCATATGTCTGTGCGCATGGCTCAGCCGCATGGCCGCTGCCGTGCGACGCGAGGCGCCCGGG